TTATTCAGTCATAGTTAAATTTACTATTAAAAACTGGGAGTACATTCTCTCATGAATGCCTGTTTGAGAGCCTCATAGTATCAGTATGTTACATAACGCAGTTGAGGAAAAATCGCAGACAGAGGATAATGAAGTATTACTGAAAGAAACTTGTCATTAGTATCTACAATGCTAGGACGGCAGTCGTCATTTTTGATACGAGAGGAGCCCGAAGAACCTTATAATACCATATAAACAAGATCAGTTGTGTGGACCAGTCCTTATTCATGATAAAAACCAATTTCAGTAAATGATCCTGGACTGTGACATACGTTATAGAAATTCCAATTTAATTAAGCTTTGCTAGTGTTGCTTCCTCAAGAAGTTTTTTGTAGCATAATTTTTCGACGTTTCTTTTTTAGTAACGTAATTATGCAAGAACTCTTCGGTTAGCACACATAATACAACCCAAGATCGGTTGTTCGCCAATTAAGGGCTACGGCATATTGAAAAATCTGTGGCGGCCACAACAAAGTCAAGAGTAGCTTTTCAATTCCGATTGATATAAAGTCTAACAATTCAACAATGATTTTGTATTGAGGCAAGGCCGTTTCAACTTATGGCACAGCTGTTGAACTTTATATGCGAGTTATGGCCGCACATTATGTTATAATCGATCAAACTGCATTCATGGGAGGGTTAATGCTACAAGATTTGCAGGGCCCGCTCTACCAAATCGGATCGCGAAGTGAAATTAGATACATCTATCTAGCCGGCATTGATCCAGTCTGGGTCTGTGTGATTGAATAATTTGGTTGTTACCTGTTTTGATCCATGAGCGGATACGCGCAGATATTGGTTATTGGTAGCGGTCCTGGTGAAATTTACAGGATCTCCTAGATTACAGTATACGTGATTGAATTCTGAATTGCCGTTATTCAATTTAATTGTTATAGAGAAGTAGTCTCAACACAGTGGGATCTTCTAACTCACTGTCAGTGACATACGACAACAAATTAGTTCTTTAAAGATCCAGGTGTTGATTTGGGAAAGTTGTCCTAAAGCAGAGCCATCCACAATTATGTGCTCTGATAGTAAAAAGTTTTTGTGCACTGCATCGATTTTGATTATCATTCCTCAATATTTACGGGTAAGCTTTCCCACCTATGAAGTTCCTCAAGCGGTTAGATGCTATGTTCCATGTTCTGATGGAATTTTTTTTATGTAGAAGCAGCCGCGCAGGCAGAAGCCTAAATACCGGAAAACCGCGGCAGCTATGATGATCCCAAAGAAATTTTGTTAATACGATTTTAGAACTGTTAAGGTCAGTAGAATTGGGAAAAAACTTCCTCTTGTAGATTGTTGCACAACCTCGACACCCTGGGGACAAGGGAACGGTCGTATCGGCCATTTCTGGATGTACGAAGTTCGACACGGTTAGGATGGGACGCCAAAGTCAGGGGGGTCTATCTGAGGAGCAAAGCTCGTTGGTGTAGCGGTAGAAAAGGGCTAGATCGCCGACGGCCCGCCAGTGCAAAAGAGTTTCGAGACTGTCTGTTAGAGAAGAGTCATCGGTCAGTCGGACTGTCCTCCTATGGACACCATCGAGCATGGATAATGTAGCCGGGGCGACAGCACCCCAAACGTGTGAGCAATACTCGAGGCTAGGCCCTATCTGGGCCTAGTATAGAGTGAGAAGGTCAAGCGGACAAAAGTACTTCTTAGCCCTAAACAAAAAGCCCAGCTTTTTCAAAGCAGCTGCAGCTATTGACGAGATGTGATCGTGCCAGATCAGGTCCTCGGTGACCGATCCCTGGGGAACACCCGCGTTGACGTTGTGGGCTGTAGAGGAGAACCCGTCAATTACGACGGATATCTTGCGGCCAGAGATAAAGTCGGCCACCCATCTGCAAAGCTTTCTTGGGAGGTCTTAGGGTGGAAGTTTGCTTAAGAGGGCAGCGCGCCACAGATGATCGAACGCTTTCGTGATGTCAAGAGCAACGACACGAGCCTCACCATAAGACTGGACCACAATTGGGTGACGTAAGCTAGGAGGTTCCCTGTGGATCGTTGGTGCCGGAAACCATACTGCCTGACGCTAATCAAACTGTGACGTTCAAGGTAGTCCAGAAGCTCGCGATTTATGCACCTCTCCATCACCTTACTTATAACATAAAGCAGAGCTATAGGCCTGTAGTTGTAAAGGTCGGTCTTCTTAGATCCCTTTTTTGGGATGGGTTGGACATGGGAAGGTGTCGGATTCATAAGATATCTGGAAGAGATGCGAAAGAACTGGAGCAAGCTCCGCTGCACACCTCTACAGTACAATGGAAGGAATCAAGTCCGGATCAGAAGCTTCGTTGATGGCTGAATGTTACCTCCCGCATAGTATAGAGAACCCTTTGAATTTACGGTACTTGGGCATTGAGGGGTACGTCCATGGTGGAGTTGGCAGCAAAGATCTTGGCTAGCACTTCCGCCTTGGCCTTTGAGTCGAATACAATAGATCCATCCTGACAAATAAGTGGTGGAAGGCTGCTGTGTGAGCAGTTCTTTTCAATCTGCTGCGTCCAGAAAGATCGACTGCCATTGCGCTGTGACATTACCCTGTGCCTAACTTGTATATCGTGCTGGTTTTTGACATTGCGAACCGCTTCATTATATCTGTTTCTTCTTGTTTGAGCCCAACCAAAGCTTATTATGGGCATTGAAATCACCGAGAAGAACTATACTAGGTGACATATAAATCCGAACACCCAGTTTAAATGGTTTTATTTTAATAAAATTTTGTATAAGTACTTAATGAAGCATAATAAGTAAATGATAAAAATTTCAAAGCCCTTTGACCTTTAATAATGTGTGGATGCACCCTGATGTGCTACGCATTCTCCAACGCGCCTAGGCATGCTTCTGATCAGGTGGTCAATGTCCTCCTGTGGTATCTCATTCCAGGCAACCACCAACTCCTCTCGAAGTGCTTCTAGAGTTTGAGGAGGACGTTGCAAATTGAGCAATCTCCTACCCATCATATCCCACACGTGCTCAATTGGGGATAAGTCGGGAGATCTTGGTGGCCATGGTAACAATGTGACATCATTATGTTGAAAGAAGTCTATTGTGACTCTTGCAACATGTGGTCGGGCATTATCTTGTTGGAAAGTTGGATCTGCCAGGGTGTCAGGATAGGGTAAAAGATGGTGTTCTAGAACTTCATGGATATAACGCTGCACGTTCATGTTACCTCTGATGAATATTAAAGGTGACCTGGAACCATAAGCTATAGCACCCCAAACCATAGCTGCAACAGTGTGATGAACATGTCTTTCAACAAAAAACTGTGGATTCCTCCTTTCACCACGTCGCCTTCTAACCCTGGCACGACCATCGTGCATGCCTAAACAAAATCGAAACTCATCACTAAAGACAATACTGTTCCATTCCTGATCCCAGAGTGACCGTTGTCTGCACTACTCAAGGCGATTACGTCGGTGTTCTCGAGTTAAAGGGAGGATCCAGTGTGGCTGGTATGAAAACAAGCCAAAACTTCTCATTCGTCGGTAAACACTTCGCATGCCAATAGGTCTTCCGTGTTCTGCAAACCATTCATTTGCAATGGACCTGTTAGTGGTGAAACGGTCCCTTAAGGCCAACAATCTTAGGCGGCGATCTTCACGGTCTATTATTCTACGGCGGCGTCCAGTGCCCCTTGCTCTTTGCGTACGGCCTTCTCGAAGCCATGCCTGACAACACCTAACCACAGTGTCTACACTTCTCTGCACTCTAACTGCAATTGCCCGAAAAGAAGGTCCAGCTTCCCGAAGTCCCACTATACGGCCCCTATCAAACTCACTAAGTTGACGAAATCGTACAGGTCTCCGTACTCTAGGCATCGTAACCTATCGTAAAGGATGTCAAGAACCAAAATCCGCCAACGTTGGTTCTTTACTGCGGCTGAAATATTCATTTTTAGAGCGTTAGTGAATTAAAAAAAAAAGCAGTATAAAAACCGGAATGTCCAACTGATAAGGCTGAAAATTTTTTTACTTGTTATTTACAGTAAGATAAATACATTCACTAACTTTTATTAAAATAAAACCATTTAAACTGGGTGTTCGGATTTATATGTCACTTAGTATACCTCTGAAGCGGGGTGTTTGATGTTCAGGAAGTCGATCTGGACGGCGAGGTATTCGAGTAGGTCATCCCAGTTATGGTCCGAGGGACAGCGATAAAGACAGCAAATAAATTTAGGTGATGTTTTGGAGTTGAGGCGAAGCCACAGAATGGCCTTCCGGTCTGATTCCAAAGAAACATCTCTGGAGCAGTAAACACTGCTGCGGACAAAAGCCACAACTCCCCATTCTTTCGCAGATGAGAGTGCACCTCGTAGTTTGGGAAGTTGAGATGGTTAATCGGTGCAGACTCTGAGATATTTGTCTCCGCCAAGAAAAGCACGGCGAGACGATTGGATTGCAGGTAGTGATGAACAGCATCGATGTTGCTGTTAAGCCCGCAGATGTTCGAAAATCAAATTTTATCTTCGATGTTGTTCCCTCGAGCCCACCCTACACCCCGACATTCCGAGAGTGGAGTGAGTTTACGTCCAGCGTTCTTAGTGCTCGAGGGATCCATCATCATGAATTTCTAGATAACCGACTGCATAGCTGAGGTGTGGAAAAATGCGGACATTTAGGAGAACCTAGCGGGTGGTACCTCCTCGGTCGATTGGTCCTTGTCTACCACCTTGTTTTTACGTATTAGTGATATTAAGTAGACCTAAAGTGGCTTGTTGGTGGACTTGTACCGCCAGCCTGGAATCGGTACTGAGGTATTCATTAACGCATGTACAATCACTTGAACGGGAAGAAGTTGTATACTGGATACAACAGCTTCCGAAACAAGAAAATCCACGGCTCCAAATTAGAGAAGTTGCCTTGTTTCTCGGTGACTTACACAAAGACAAACAACTTTCATACAGTAAGTACTAAACTGTTGATTAAATCGATAGTGACATATTTTACCGATCCAGCTCTTGCAGAGATAATAACGAGGCATCGTATAGTGAAGCATATGCTAAAAGCTATCAGCCTATCTAAAGTATCTATGCGCAGGACCACAATCTGGAACATCAACAATTTAGTAACTTGGCTGAAGTCTAATCCCCCGGACCAGAACACTATTTTCCAGGTATCGAGGCACCTAGCTATTCTACTACTTCTCGCGCCCGGCAAACGCATCCACGATTTAACCCTGCTATCTATCAATAACAACTACTTCCAGGATTTTGGTTCGTAGGTCGTTTTACAGTCTAGATTCGGCTCGAAGACAGACAAGTCGTTATTACATCCGGATCTCCATCGAAATTCCCATTTGCTAATTCTCCACGGTTTGACTTTCGCAAAGCTAACTTTCCTGAAATGTACACAGCCTTGCAAGATATTAATTGGACGGAGGTGATCAGTGCTGTTAATGCTGATGTCGCTTGTACCGCCTTGTATTCAGTTATCAGTAACGTCTTTGAGGTCCATGTCCCTAAATGCAAAAATAAAATCTTTTCGTATCCCCCATGGTTCACACGTGAAATTATACTTAATATCAAGAAGAAGGACATAGCAAGAAGGAACTGGAAATGTGACGGTACTAAGTTTTCTTATGATCAGTTCAGTAATTTTAGGAAGCTCATTAAGAACCAGATCAGTGTTGCCTACTCCGCTTACGTCCAATCGGTTGAGGATGCCATTGTCAATGATCCTAGCAAATTCTGGTCATTTGCCCAGATCAAAAAACAGCAATCTAGAATCCCCCCAAGGATGACGCTTAATGGCAATGTCTGCGATACGCTTCAGGATATAGTGGACAGTTTTGCTACCTTCTTTTCAACAGTTTTTATCCCGTCTGGTCTACTAGGGTCATCTCCTCCAACAAATAATTCTACCGATATCATTTCTTTAAAAAATATAAGTGAAGAAAATGTAATTAGGGCTTCGAAAAGATTAAAGAACAAAATGACGTCTGGATGTGATGGTATTCCAAGTTTTTTCGCTAAAGATTGCATTCATATACTAGCGAAACCGCTGGCTTCCATATTCAACCTAATTCTAAAATCAGAGGCATATCCAAATATCTGGAAGACCTCTAAAATATGTCTTATTCACAAAAGTGGAGATATCTCTGATATTTCCAACTATCGCCAAATAGCAATCCTGTGCAATTTCAGCAAGTTGTTTGAGATCATAGCTTATGAAACGGTTTACTGCTCGGTCAGGGGTGCAGTCTCTATTAATCAGCATGGGTTTATGAGAGGCAGATCTACGGTCACCAACTTGGCTCTGATTACTCAGTACATTTCTGAAATACTGGACGGTCAGGGACAAGTTGATGTCATCTACACAGATATTCAGAAGGCGTTTGATCAAGTTGATCATTATGCACTTCTGGATAAGCTTAAAACAGTGGGTATCTCTGATGCAATGCTGTCGCTCATGAATTCATATTTTAGGGATAGAAGGTTATTTGTCGAATATGCTAGTCATAGGTCGAGTTACTATCGGGCCACGTCTGGGGTACCTCAAGGGTCAAATCTAGGTCCATTATTGTTTTTAATATTTATTAATGACTTGTCTTTTGAACTGAAGTGTTTCCATTTGTTTTTCGCTGATGACCTTAAAATCTGCACGTCAGTCAAGACAGTCGAGGATTGCGTCATGTTGCAAGATGACTTAGCTCTAATTTTGTCATGGTGTTCACGAAACTGTCTCAGTCTGAATGTTTCGAAATGTGAAGTTATGACTTATACAAGAAAAGTTAACTATTTAATTTATGAAAATTATAACATCAATGGTCAGGTTATAGACAGATGCACCTCTTATAGAGACCTTGGAGTCATTTTTGATACCAAGCTAACGTTTACTGAGCATATAGATACTCAATATCTCGTCGGCTGCCACTCGACTACTTGGTTTCTGTAACAGAAACTGGAAGGGTTTCTCCAATGTTGATACATTAATGACTTTATTTTTTACTTTTGTCAGGAGCAAGTTGGAGTATGCAACTCTGATCTTGTCTCCTATATATCAAAATTCTGTCGTGATCCTTGAGGCCATTCAACGTAAAGCTTTAAAGTATTTTCACCTTAAATGCACAGGTTCTTATCCAGAAGGAGGTTGTGACCATAGTGCCCTATTAGAGTTTTTCAATTTGGATTCACTGTCAACAAGACGAAACATATTTGCTTTGTCGTTTTTGTATGGCCTCATTCACAATAAAATTGACTGTCAAAATTTACTTGAAAAAATATGTTTCCGCGTTCCAAGGCTAGGGAGTCGACAACAAACGGCATTCTATTGTCAAGCTGGCCGTACAAATGTTATGACAAAATCGCCAATTAATCTCATGTGCTGCGTCCTGAACAGTGTTACTGAATCGTGTGATATTTACAGTGAAAGTTGTGCATCGATTATTAACTGCTATAGATCATCCAATCTTATTTAGAATGTGTTATACTACAGATTTAAGTCCAAGAACCATATCACTTTAATTGTTAAATTTTTCAGCGTTTCCTGTAATTGGGCTTCACGTGTTGGAAATAAATAAATAAATAAATAAATAAATAAATAAATAGATAAATAAATAAATGAATAAATAAATAAGTTGTCCTACAGGCAATCAGGATGGAAGATTTCGGAAAACGGTGACAAGACCTTGGATATGATTCAGTGGTTGCGAATTTTAAAAGCTCTATCAGGAAAGAGGCGAGCAGCTGCACAGAAACCCACCTACAGAGCATTTTGATGTTGCTTAGTTTTTTCATTTATATGACGCTATTTTATTATAAATGTTTTTATATATGTTTCTCATAGCAATAACATTTCTGTTCCTAAACGGACGAAGTTTTTTTTTTTCACCCATCACAGTACGCTCATAGCGCCGGCAGACTACAAACATTTCTCACAAGGGTCAAGCGAACGCAGAGATACAAATTATACATTTTTTCCCCCATTTATTTTGGGTCTTACCGAAGCTTGACCCTAAAATGACTGGTACTAAAGCGCGAGCAATCTTGCCGGCGCCAAGCAGCAGCCGCGACCGGACGGCTCTGGGTCAAGCTTCGGCAAGACCCAAAATAGATGTTTTTTACCCTTCGGGGGAAAAACATGTATATTTAGAAATTTGATTAAAATTCTATCGGACAAACGGGTTTTTTGAAGTGAGACAGCGCAGAGCGCCATGTGTTCTAGATTCGACATTGTTCCAGGTAAGCTTGTTTAAGCAGGTCTTCTATTTTCGTCTCGCAAACTGGATAGCTGCCTAATAGTTATATGCACCGTTTTCATTTTAAACAGTGATTAAGTAATCGGTGGTTATATTTTGATGAGTTGCACTAGCGTCAATTGCACAGCTTTTGATTAATCAGATGATAGATAGATAGGTAGTTTATTGTCCTATTAGATCATGTTACATACATGGATACGTGGATATTAAAAATCTACGTAAGTATAACCTATCTTGCAGATAGGTGTCTATTAGATGCAAACAAAACAAACTATCGTAAATTAAGATATATTATGTAGGATCATTTCAGATAGGTATTGAGTTCTGACGAACAAACTCCTGATGGCCAGAGCTATGGTACTTATAGAGCTTATGAAGCACCCCAACTAACAATTATCACTAATATTAGAGTTGCAAGAATGATTATACAGTATTCCTTACACAGCATTGCATACTGCAAGAACATTGGCAAAACCCTCTTAGAACAGCTATACAATCGGAATGGGCACACCTAATAGGACACTTCAGTCATTTAAGAGGTTTTATAAGGGCTGCAGGTAAAAGTTATACAAAAAAAGTGTAAACCTCTTGCAGCCGCTATAGGACATTTGCGTCAGTGCAAGATTCAGTTTTTGTCAACTATGCTACTATTATGTTACGTGATTCTACTTTATTGCATCCAAACTACTTCTTATGTATTGTATAGACGAAGTGAAGAATGTATAACTAACAACACATTACAGTCATCTTGTTTACTTACATATCGGCCATTGTGAATTTCATACACAGGTATATGATAACCTTCTACACTGTGACATAGGGCTATTGAATTACTTGCTCAGCAAATTTTATTGTGATTATCGTACAAAGTATAGTTACGCAATTTCTACGGGCTTCGTATTTGATTCATATTTTGATAATGATCAAAAGTATGTCTAGATTTTTAAGATGCAAAACTGAACTTATTTGCGTTAAATCTTCCACAAATCTTATATTTAGACACAATTACGCTAATGTTTATCACTTTATATCTGTAATTTCGAAGTGTAACATAATTATTTAATATTATTAATATTGATAAAACCTTCTGAACCAATGTGCGTTGTTTGTCTCAAATCATTGGTTGTGGCATATTATCAAAAATATGAAAGCAGAAAGTTACGTTATGGTGAAGTTGTATATATATTTAGCATATGTACAGCCTTTAACATTCACTAAACAACATTTGTATAAGTGCTTCCGTTGGGAGCAATTTGTTGGCTAAAGTAGTAAATTTGCACGGCAAAACAACAAGGCTTGGATTTGTTTTATAAACGTTACTACCATGGATGCCACGACACAACCATTTTGACCAACGTGCAAATATGCCGTATAAAATAGTTGTATAAAGGTTTATGCAACAGTTAAAAATTTGTCCTATAAGGTATTGTATATCTATGCTATAAGAATATTTTAAACACCTCATTTTAGAGCAAATATGTTGCAGAAAGCAAATTTGCATTCCACGCAACATTAAGCCAGCATTTTGGTGTTCAGGCAACAACAATAGAGAACTTTTATGGCTAAACGGTGCATTTATCAAAAGCTTATAGCACTACTTTGCTAGTTGGAACATAATGATCAGGTAAGTAATATATGTCTCTCTGTTATTCCTTAATTAAAAACATTTGCTCTGTTCAAAGACCAGCAAACCTGGAAATAGTACGGTCCTAATGATGAAGGCGGCTCCGACGGAGTGAGTTTCAAGCCATTTACAAAGGTTCAGCTGCTTCGAAACTGACACTCCATTTTTCAACATTTTTGAATGAAATTCATACAGTATGTTCAGAAGATAATTCCCCAGGGTGCTATAGGAACAAAATAGGAGGAAATTTTGTTTTTGCACATGTTTCATGATGGGTTGAAGTGCGCACTTTTTCTGTTCAACTTCGCGATTTTTTTAAAAAGAATCTAGTGAAAAAATGAAAAATTGGCTCTATAGCACCATGTGGGGTTTTGTTTTCAGCACACTATGAAAATTTCATTCAAAAATATCACAAAATAAAGCGTCAATTTAGAAGCGCGCAAACCTGTACAAATCGTATTTTGGACGGATTTTGTCTACTGTTTCGTGCTGCCAACGCAAGCGTTGCAGCGCAATGTACGGACTAAGGAAGGACGTATTCAGATAATTTGGTGGCCCTATTTCATATAATATCGCATAGAAAGTCGTCCTGCAAATAGGTACTCATAATCGTGATCGCCGATACTCCTCGATCTAGAGCCGTTTTACTTCCAACGCCAGTGGCGAGGAAGTATTGTAATCGCGAAAAATTTCTAAAATGAGATGTTATGTTTTTTTAAGTCATATGACATCTACATCACGGAAAACTATATCACTCACCATCAAATTGGAAATTATCGCTCGGATTTTTACTACTAGTATGCTAAAGCTTTGTAGTTTTCGTCCAATGGCAAGGGTGCTATAGGCAAAAAAGAAAAAGTAACAATTGCTGGAACTCCGTTTTGACGTTACAGGGGTTCCTTATCATTGACATAAAAAAAATTGTACTGCTTAAAAAGTGGTGGTTGGGGGAAAGTGATTCTAAATGTTGTATCTTTGATATCAGTAAAACACGTTCTATTATTAAGAAGCTTCTGATCCCAGTGATTACAGGAAATTTAAGTAACGAATATCCGACGAATAATGTGCTCACGATTTGAAAAAATTGTTACATGTTTTATAGGTTTGACACCAAGAGCCAACAGATCTATCTGCAACTGCCGACAGTAGGGAAGAATGAATTCGATATCACTCCAGTCAAGTATAGGGGAATTTAGCGTGGAACTTTAAAATTATCGATATATCGGTAATATGTTTTTGAGAACGATAATTTGGTAGATTTTATACCTGCATTTTCATTTGAATTTCATGACTCGGGAAATGTACCTATTTCGCCGTTACCTTCAGTTTGTATTCTGCAGTTTGTAATGTTTTTCTGGATATAAGCAGGACATAACTGCCTAAGGTGCTATCAGAGCTTTTTACAAAATTTTGTCTTTGTGCAAGAATTATGGTGGGTTGAAATGCTTACTATTTGTACTCAACTTCTTGATATTTTAAAAAGATCCTAGTGGATAACATCGAAAAATTGGATCGTTAGCACCCTGTGGTAAACGTAAGCAAGTGAAGTGCAAATCGGTTTTTGGGCAAAATTCGTCTACTGTTTCGTCCTGCCAGTCCAAGCGACGCGACAGTGCGTTCCGACTAAGAAAAAATGTATTCAAATAATTTGATATCTTTGGTAAAATAGATTCAAGAACTCAAATTCAAATTCGTTTATTCATGTCAATAAACACAATTATGTTTACAAGAGACATGTGGTACATGACAACAATTGAACGAGGGTCATAAAAATGTCTTATGCCATCAAAGTAAGAGGAAACAGTTAGGTAGTTTTTGCAAAGCAATAAACAGGTAGGCTTATATAATGGATGTGTGCGATCAATAAACAAATCACAAGATTGAACTGCGTTGTCCAATGATTTTTGTATTGCCTTTTTTATTGCCTTACTAGAAAACTCTGTTGGATATATGATGGAGTTTACTAGAACTTTACAGCTTGTTGTCTGCCTTCTTCTACAAACTTCACCAAATCGAGACGCTGTCAACCTTATCCTCCGATGAAGGCGCCACAAAGTACAGTCCTGTGATTGTTCGATTTGCAAAATCTCGTCGTCACTTTTTCTTTCCCTAAAAATTCTAAAATTTTCGCTTAGCAACCTCCAAATCAATGTCGCTCATGTCAGGTTTTTGACATAATTCGCCATAAAACTATTAATTTTCTTTGGAATTGCTATCCGAATTGTTAGTTATTTTTATATCAGCTTTTTTTGGCCTGAGTTTCTTTTCAAGATTCTTGCGCTTGGGTCTTTGTTCCATCTTAGCGATAAGCGAGGTTGGACTAAGCTGAGAACGAAAATGAATTTGGACCACATAGACAGGCCGCTGGGTATTGTGGGTCACTACAGCTGCAGCATATCTTACATGGTATGACCTCTTTTTACAATAATTTATTCGCTTACTCCCCAATGTATTTTGCAATTATAGAGTTAGACTGCTCCACACCATTGTTGACCTCATCATGAATTAAACTCACTGCATTCGTAATTAAAATGGTCGCACATGACCTTTTATTGTCCATTCTCAACCTTGATAAAAAAATGCCCTCAAGAACAATTACACCAACAAAAGAGTACAGCACAACAGTTCAACAACACAATATCGACGAACAGTAACAAGCGGAGAAAAATACTAAATTATCGCTTGCTGAGTACCAAAATAGGGAAGGATTTACAGGCTAGATCGCTAGTCGAAATCCGACTCCGTTATTGTAAAAATTTACCATGGTATGCCCCCGCAGTCATCCTTTCATCTTTTAAAGTAGCGCCGACGACCGTCTTGGTCTAGGCCAACCTTCGTTTCCTGTTTCACCTCCCCGCTACCTCAGCAGATGGTGCTCGTGATTGTAGCAGCCCCGTTAACAGAAACCAATCAGTAAGGACCTAATACCATCTTGAAAAAAATGACAAGAACATTCAAAATCTGATGATAAGAAGATAAGTTTGCTTATAACGATGACATCCTTGTAGTTAAAGGTGGTGCAAGACATATTTCATTAAAATCATTGATAAATTATTTAAACCTTGTTCAGTGCGACATTGAAAAAGGACATAAGCGTAATAATAGTGAGACTGATAAAAGGAAGTAGAATCCTACAAATGACAAAAGCTATTAAGCTAAGAAAGGCTGGGATCTTTGTTGCTTAGGAATAAATAACCGGGTATCTGTTTTAAATGTGTTGTGTATTCTTTTTAAATAACAAAATCCTAATTAGTGGCTGAGAATTTCTACTTGGGGGGATTTGTCACATACTACTATGCAAATTACTTTTTCAATAATTGTTTCCAATGACGACTCTAATTTAGAGTAAGTCATACTTAATATTACAAAGTAAAAGATGCACGTTTTTAAAACATACCTATGGTCATTTTTCATACTTTTTTATAGTAAACTACATGGGGGCTCGTCTTCAAGCCTTTTTTCATCCATAACGACGACTCATAATAGCATATCATACCATCATTTGTATGAGCCACCTGTCATTCAAGCTCTTACTTGAGGTATTTGAGTGTTTAGATTTGTATTTTCCATTAAGCTTGTATCGAATTCAGTCCATATCGTCTCACTGTAAAGCCAGCTTGCTATTGTTCACATGTGCTGTTATACATCATCCTAGCAAGCGAGACAGATGACAATCGCCGTTGCCGGCGTCACTCGCTGGAAGCGGCATGGAACTTTGGACTTCTCCTAATTTAACCAATTTCACATACAAGGCCGTGCTGAGTCAGTGAATCGGTGTCGTCGTATACTGTCCCTCTCTTTTAAGTATATATCATCAACTGATCCCCCATACTCGCTGCGCAAAACTGTGGCTGTTGCAATAAAAGATATCGTCAAGATACAGTGTGCCAAATATATCACTAAAGATACAGGGTGATTCACAAACTGTGACCAAAAATGAAACATCATACACTTTAAGGGGGATCTACCATGTAACATTTTTTCCTCGAGGTCTTCATTAAAAAGATACGGGGTGTTGAAGTTTGAAAATAAAAAACTAATGTTGTGTTGTAAGGACCCGGCAACACGCCTATGGGAAAAGTGGTTTCGGTTAACTTCGCTGAATTTTTTATATGCTATTAATTGGGTTCTACTCAAATATTTGCTCTAAACGGAAGAGTGGTTTCAGTCGATTTACCTGAACTACTCATATGTTATGTGTCTTGACTTTCTGAATAGATGCCTCAATGAGCACATCCCCAAGACACAATGGGTCCCAAGATATAGGGTGTCCAATTCAATACAATGTATTGGTTATACTCAAATGTATGTCTTAAATCAAAGAGCGGTTTCAGTCAATTTGGCTGAGTTTTTCATATGTTATAGACATCCTGAATAAATGCATTGATGGGCGTAGGCCCCAAAACTCAAAGGGCCCTAAGATGTAGGTCATCCAAGTCAGTATAATGAGATTACGGTTCAAGTCGAATATCTGCAGTGTCTGTTAATTTCGCTGAATTTTCTATACGTTATCTGACCGGGCATCCTGAACAAATGCTCTAATGCGCAGATGCCCCAAAACTCACAGGTCCCAAGATATAGGGCGAGATTTTGGGGTAACCACGAAAGTTATTACCTCCAACGACAGGAATGCAATACTCATGTAAATTATTGAATTGAGCTTTTGATATCGAAGTAAGATAAGCACAATTTTCATCAGTCAAATTATCAGGATCAAGAGAGTGCGCAAGATTTTTTGAGCCGATTTTCTTAATCGTGTAAGAAATCTAATGACTTCTATCTTTTTCTTGAGGGACGTAAATTTTACTCTCCAAAGGTATTTCAACTCGAGCCTCAATACTAAGCCGGTGCAAATGTATACTCAGCTGATTACATATTATACATGTATCAGAGGATTTTTGTCCAAGGATATTCAACATAAGGCTTTCGGGATTTTGCAAGGCCGCTTCGTCCCGTGTAAGTAATAAATCACAGTTAAAACAAACACCTGATATATCGCTTATCACAAAAGCAGAGTAGTTCGGCTCCTCACCGTACCTCACAGCCATCTCCACTTTTGGATTGCTGAAGTTTCTCACAAGTCGCATGGTTCGAATGGCGAAAACTTCATTATACGCATAACACAGCATGCGCTGCGCCATGCTCGCTGCTATAGAATAAGGGTCATTCTAAAATCCGTTGCAGAGGATGATGTCCCGAAACTAAAATACTTTCTTTTTGCTGAGATATTAGAAAGGTTTTATGTCATTATGGGATTATTCGTTAAATGAAACATTATTTAATAACTTTTTAAACATCTAACGCCTTTAATATTGATTAATCGCCCATTTTATCATGTAACAGAGTAGTCATTCATGGTAACACAGTGGTTTTTCATACAAAAAAATGTGTCCCAGACTGCGGATCATCATAGGGTAATCGTGATACCATTTTATCATCATCATCATAGATCTTTTTGTTTAGATGCTATAGTAATTAAGCAATTTCAACATTTTCAACAACATGTTTCATACCTAGGAAATACAATTTATTGATCTACTTATGATTACTTAAAATGTTGTCCCGCTTTATTTCAAATAGTAAGCTTACACTCTGTTACCACATATATTTAATAGCTGCCAACAGATGGCGCCACATTTTCAGTGGAAACCGTTGTGTTTTTATGTCTACTGCACTATCGACACTGTTCGTTGCAAGTCAGGAGGGGGGTACGTCAACCAATTTTCCGTTGGCTATGATGTGAGGCGCGTAGTTCTATTCTGTGTGTACTCTGCTACCGGCGTTTTTAAGTAAGTATTCCTATATTTCTATACAAATTTACAACTTTGAAGTAGATCTAGTGGAATAATAACCTTATGAGCATCCATTCTAACATAATACAGTTTTGCCCCAATGATAAAGGAGACGAAGTGTTAAATTTACTACTCTGTTACTGCACGACTCTGTTACCACTATACAGGGTGACTTCGAAGTTGAGTCATTTATTTTAACAGTGAGTAGATCTGATCGAAAGAAATGTTTTTTCCTTTAACATTTTTGTGGTAAAGTTAAAGTAACAAAGTTATAGCCCTTTAGAAGTTTGAGTACTGCCCTGTCTCAATAATAATATTATGTGCTCGTGTTTGGCAACAACGGATATAATCCGCCTTATCGGTTCATCGCATCGAAAACAAAAAAGCGGAAGAATTTGAAACGCTTATCACGATGTTTTTACTACAATTTTATTCAGTTGTATTCAGTCAATGTGTCAGTCGGTAACGCGTGAGTGAATAGTGGTGTTTGTTGCGTGGCCCAAACGAAATAAAAAATGGCACATGTTTACGAAAATGCTGAACTTGTGGACATGATTCTTATTTACAGGGGGGAGTCTTTACAAAATGCTGCCGCGGCATCACGGATTTATGCGGATTGGTTCCCAATCGAGTGCAACCAACCCCTCGTGCCTTTGTTAATGTAGTACAAAAAGCTCGTGAATCAGGTGACCTAAGACCTCACAGGGGAGGGCATGCCGGTGCTCCAAGACCGCACGATCAAATACAGGTTCGCACTGAAATACTTGTCGGGAGGATACTTTATAAAACAAGGTAACATTTTTTTTTCATTTTCACACACACGTTTATCTTCCTTCTACAGTCATTATCTGAAAATTAATGACTCAACTTTAAAGTATAGTAACAGAGTTCTGGACTGGTAACAGAGTCGTTATTATCTTATTATTTAACTGTTCAGTCTGTCAATATTTCGTATAATAAATAAAACAATTTGCTCTAGATAATTATACGACATCATTATGGGTCTCACCGCTAGAAGATATTAGTAATTCAATTGTTCAAAACAGGAAACCAATTTACAATTCTGTATACAGTTCGGACTCGGAATCTAGTGATGATCAACCTGGATTGCCAAAAGAAGGAGATGATGATAACAAGTTAATTGAGAAGGAGAATATTCATCCCAGTAAAATCAAAGAAGGAGTCTACGTTCTGGTAAAAATTTGCTCTTGCGAAAGCGAATACATTTGCCTTGGAAAAGCGTTAAATGGAGCCGACGATGAAGGAGAAGTAAAAATAGTATTCTTGAAGTGTGTTGACGATACCGGGAAAGTATTTAAATTGATCGGAAATGATATTTCATACGAACAATACGAAAGTTTGATAAGAATTGTTTCTGAACCTAAACTGGTAATGAAGGGCAAAAGGGTATGTTACCATTTCCTCACTCCTTTAGAAATATTTGACAAATAAGTTCAGTTAACTAATTTTAATTTAACCTCAGCTAGAGCATACTTGTTTTTTTTAAGTTTTAATGTCTAATAATTATGAAAAAAACGTTTTGTGATTATATTCATAAGTTAGTTATGAAAGTACAACTATGTTAGGATTCCTACAACTCTGTTACCTTTATGTCCCTATTTTTAAAGAGTAAAGTTAGATTTTCTATAAAAACTTGCTACTTTATTGTATTTTATATGTCATATATATGTATATACTACTTTTATTTACGAACAATAACTTGTTAGATTCTTGTATTTCATTCTATTCAAACAATTTGAGGAATAAATTAGTTTCATATAAAACATACAGAGTAACAGAGTATCCATAATTTTAAGAATTATTCATAAGTAAGAAACAAAACTGTGATTTCCATGTCAAACATGAGAGCAAAGACTTGATTTATATTAGTTACAAAGAAAAATATAAAAATATATTTTTGTTGTTTAACTACTTAATAAATAAATGATGGTAACAGAGTTGTTATTTTTTTCTATCCTGAACTGCTAAATTTTCTAAAAATCTAAAAATAGAAACGAATGATTGCGCCTAGCTTCAAAATTGAATTTTATAAAGTTATGTGCATAACATGAATATCTTACACCTAAATTAAATAAGATTTTATTTTTTTAGAATTTAGATTTATTGCCAAGTTTTTGTGCAACCCATTTTAGAATGACTTAGATTATGCAAACTGCACAGCTCGAAATTAAAACTCTACACATAATGCTAAAAATAACGGAAAATGGAAAACGAAAACGAAAAACGAATGACCAAAAACGAAACACGATTAACGATAAACGAAATATGAGAAACGACCAACAAAAGGTATATAATGTAACGGAAAACTTAACAGAAAATGCTTGCGCAGTGCTCAGTAATGAACTGTTTGTAGATTCCAACAAATAACGAATAACTTAAAAATGTCCTCTCCCAACAACGTATTCGATCAATGTGTGGCTGCTTATGTAGCTGTCTCCCTTATATAGAAAAATACACAATCATCGCTCTTGTTGAGTCGTAGCCTTCTAACAGATTCGTCGGCATACCTGCTACTAAACTCCATTGAGTCTAATTCTTCCAACCACAATGGAATAAGGAGGTGGTTTCAATTGTATGTGATCTTTAAGATTTGTTTAGGATGACGCGTTACATGATATTTCAAAAATTACTCATATCATCATATTAACCGAAACCACTCTTCTAGATGGAGCAGATAGGTGAGTAAATCCGACAACTGATTATACCGACTTGGTCGGCCTGTATCTTGGGACACTGAGTTTTGGGACCTGTGACCATCAAGGCATTCGTCCAGGATTCCAAGACATTTAACATTTAAAAAATTCAGCGAAATTCAACGAAACCACTCTTTCACTTAAAGCATATATTCCAGTATAACCAATAGATTCTACTGACTTGGACGCTCTTTATCTTGGGGCCCGTTGAGTTTTGGAGCCTCTGGCCATTAACACATTTGGGACTTCGAGACACATAACATATGAAAAATTTAGACAAATAAACCAAAACCGCTCTTTCATTTGAACCAGATATTTTAGATAAACCGATACCCCAACATACTGACTTGGATGCCCTATATCTCGAAACCCGTTAAGGTTGGGGGCCTAAGGCTATTGAAACATTTTGTTCAGTATGCTAAGACGTATAACGTATAAAAAATTCAGCAAAACATTTGTTCAGGATATCAAAGCGCATAACATATCAAAAATTAAGCGAAATTAACCTGAACTGCTTTTCCCATAGGCGTGTTGCCGGGTCCTTTGGTATGTGGACTTACCTGAGTATTGTCCACATCCAAAAGTCTTTACTTGAAATTAACGGTCACCAGCGGCGGAGATACGGGAGATTAGTGGCACTATTTTGCCAAATAAAAATAGTACGTTACTGTTTCTTTCACGAAACGCGCATTTTTTGAATTTTACCTTTAATTTGCTTCAAATAATTACTCTTGTGGTTTTTCCTAGAAAAAATAGAAATAAAACAAATTAGAACATTCACGAAGAGCCGAGATACAATTACTAGTAGTTTCAAAATAAAATAGGGGGCATTGATACCAACTTGACGTTGCTTGAGAGATAGTTTGTCAAAGTTATGTGTTATGTTGGTTGTTATCGTTACTACTACCTTTTTGTTGTGAAAGTCAAGTCAAAAGTGTCTTTTTTCCATTTTTGAGTGTTGTGAAATGGAATTTAGCAATGATGAATACGCCGTTATTATTTTTGTGTACTGGTTCTGTAATGGAAATGCTTTTGCGGCTTCTGAGGAGTATCAACGTAGATTTCCTTAGAGACTCCAACTTACCCCAAAGGTTTTTACGAGCTTATTTCTAAGACCTCGGCAATATGGGATTGCCAAACTTACCGGAGGTAGAGGCCATGGTGTCGCTCATACTACTCAAGAGGTACTGAAAGTTATTAATTTGGCATTGGATGATCCTAGTAGAAGTACTAGGCGGATTGCCGCCCAGTTACCAAGTTTTCAAAGTCTTGCGAATTTTAAATCGGGAAGTTTTACATCCTTACCTTCGGCAAAATCTGCAAAGTGTCCAACCTGGCGACGAAGCGCAATTGCGAAATTTTTGTGAGTGGTTACTGCAAATGCATAATCAAAATGTAGATTTTATTGATTTGGTTTTGTATATATACTAAGTGACATATAAATCCGAACACCCAGTTTAAATGGTTTTATTTTAATAAAAGTTGGTGAATGTATTTATCTTACTGTAAATAACAAGTGAAAAAACTTTCAGCCTTGTCAGTTGGAGATTCCGGTTTTTATGCTGCTTTTTTTTAATTCAC